GGGGCGGGGCGGGAGGCGGCTCTGCCCCGAGCGCTGGGGCCCTGGGGCCGGCGTTGGCGCGGGGCTGCGGCCGCGGGGGGAAGCCACGGAGCCCGCGTGGGGCCGGGGCGGAGCGAGGGCGGGTGGCGGCCCCGGTGCACAGGGAAGCCCCCCCAAGGAAACTGTGGAGCGCTGCGGCGGGGAGGGCGCGGGCTTCCCCCGCGCAGCTTTGGCGTGAAAGCGATCCCGGTGCCTGCGCAGCGCAAGAGGCGGGCGAAGGCAGCGGAGGAATTCTGCATTTGCACCAGTCAGCATGAGAGCCGCATCCGCCCTCCGCCTCGCGGGCTGTGCGCGCCCGCGCCCGGGGAGCCGCGGGGCGGAGGGGCGGCAGGCAGCGAGGCCCCGCTGCCTGGCACGTGTGTTCACACGCGAGGCGCTTCGCGGCCGGGGGACAGGGACCTGCGGAGCGCTGCGCGGCTGCCGGCGCCGCTGGGCACGGCGCGCGCTGTGCGAGCGCGGGGCGGCCCGCCTGCTGCCCACGCAGCCGCGGAGCGCCTGTCCCGGCGCCGTTCCGTGGGCAGGAGGCGGCGGAGCCACCCAGTGCGAGTGGGCATGCAGGATTCAGCCCTTCCGTGTAGATGGGCGTCAGGGATCAGCCACTTTCAGCTCTTGCCACCTCAAATTTAAGGGCATGAGTTACAGCCAAGAGCCCTCCAGGGGATATGGAGAGCAAAGTCAGGAAGCAGGAGGTGTTATCAGCTCCCAAATAGCGTGAGATTAACCTCAAAGGAAATATATATTATTTGGGACACCTCTACACGGAATTTCTTGGAGACATTTCAAAGAGGAGTGAAAATATTAGCAAATCCTAGAGATGCCAGTGACAGTGTACAATTTTGAGGGAGCTGTGGAGTAGGTAACATCTGAGAGAGCCTCAGGCATTTCCTGTTGTCCCAGAGGAAGACAACACAGGTCAAGAAATGATTTACAAAGCCTGAGCAAAGAGGAGGGCTTTGGTTTCTTGTCTGGAAAGTGAAAGATGTAGATATTTAACCCCAACAGCGATCAGATTATTTGGCTTGTACAGTGGTGGAGAAACTACATTCACACCTCTGGGTATCACAGGAGCTGTAACACTGTGTATGAAACCTGCAGAAGTATCAAGGCATGTATTAACGGAGCAATGTGTATGTCTTACTGGCCYGGTTAAGTTTGGCTATTTAGATTTCCACACATTTTTATACGCTTTTCATTTTGTACCCTAAACATTTTCAGATGGAATCACTCAAGTGTCCCAAGCTTGGTTCCTGTATTTTCAGTGTTATTTGTCACTTTGTTGTTATCCGATGCCTCTATTTAAGCAAAACTTGATAGAGAAGTGGGTCTGCCAAGGCAAATCTGGTGCAGTGGGGAGCTATATTTCACTTTTAGATTTAGGGACTATTATCAGCAATTCCAGTTCTAACAGAACGTTTACTCATGGCATGTTCAGACCTGAAGGTTCAGGCCTTGATAACACTGCTAAACGTAGTAGATGTTAACATTAACATGATGTTAATGTGGAAGAGGATGTCAGACGTACGCACGCTGGGATGAATTGAGAGGGCCTGGGCATGGACCAGCATAGGAACATGCTTGCAGCATGATTGCTTGAGGGCTGACATATATAAACCTTCCCCATCTGGAGTGATGCTCTTCTGTGTGGTTTTATTGCAAAACAGCGAGGAGTGTGTGCACAGCTGCTGATGGCTCATTCACAGCTGCTGATAGACAAAACCCTCTTGCTGGTTCATCCCCAGATGATGTCCGCCTCCTTCCCTCACCCAATGTCTGTAGCCAAATGATAGTTAAAAAGTAAGAAATTATTATTCTTTTATAGTTTTGTGCAAGAATTATCTCACATCATATTTGACAAAAACTCACAAAGAACATGGATAAAAAGGCTAAATCACATGATGTTGTTCCGCCAAGTTGCGCTGTTTACCGTTGTGACAGTTTCCACCCTTCAGTTGTGTACATTGCACCCTTAACTTTGCTTTCAAAGAGAGCAATTTTCCTCGACTCATCATTTGAGAGGTCTTTTGCCCTCTCTGAAGGGTCTCTCAGCCCTCGATCTGAAGGGTCTCTCCCAGCATCTGCTGTAAGCAATAGCTAGTCATGTATTGGAGAAAATAGTCTTGCCAGGAGTAAATCCAGACTGGTGAAATGGAGACGTTTACTGCTGCAATGAGGTTCTGATATACATCTTTCTTAATTGGAGGAGAAGTGGCTATTAGGGGTGACAGTCCTTCATTTGTGAGTCATGAAAATGTACGCAGCAGGAAAATCAAATTCYATATTTTTAGAAATTTTGCTTTTGCTTGCATTTAATGCCCCATTTTGTCTGTTTATCTCTCTTTGCTTTGCATTCTTTCTACCAGAAAGAATCCTCCTGCCTAATTGTCCTATCCTTTTACTSTGCAATAATCTGCCAATATTCTACTTTTTTTTTAATGAAATTATATATATATATAAAATAATATATAKAGAGAGGTGATTTGTTACATAAAAATGTCCTATGRTTTTAAAGAATGTGTGAATAAGAGAAAATAACATTCTCTCTATGCTTCTCATATCCATCRTAGGTATTAACTACACAGGTACAAATTTCTTTGTAAAACTTAAATTTTGGTATTATGTACATCCTGAGATCAACTCTCATCTTTTTTTTTTCCTCTTTTTTTGCRCCTAAATAAAATGTATAGCTACATGTGTCCATTCAGCTCCTGAAATTTTCATGGTCATAGTTTCCTTAACATATGAACCTCTTCAGATTTTTAATAGTAATCCTGAGCATTAGAAGGATGAGATACAGATTTTTCATAATCTTTAGGTTTTGTTTGCTTGTTTGTTTGATTGATTGGTTGATTTCATGGAGAACGAATTCCTCACTATRTCAAAATAACTTAGTATTTTTAGATAAAACTATTTGGGATTTATAGACAGAAGTTACATGAAAGACAAATAGGGGAGTACTGCACATGTCAATAGTTCTGAGGAGTCCATCCTAATGTGCAAGTTTCCTGTGGTAGAAAGATCACAGTGTCACTTTAGCTAAAGGTATAGCTAAAMTTTTGATCTAAGTTACTTAATTTTGATTTTATTTGTGAYTTGTCAAAGGGAATTAGTGGTAGCAGAACAAGATTTTTTTTCTCTCATGCCTGTTTGCTGTGCCTGTATTACTGGATCACTACTAAAAATTTAGTAGATTCTTTTACTTTTTTTTTGGTATTGAATTACTGTGATTACTTAGTGGACTCTGTCAAACTATTATAACTCCATTAGAGCCAGTGGTTTATAGCACTATAAAACTCAAATATAAACCCCAAAATAGATTTTCTTCCCTTCTGCCAAATGTAGTAACTTTATGTTTACTGTCTCTGTGATAAACACAATCCCTGTCTTTTTCCGCTGTCTCATACTATTTATTTCGGGTTATATCAAGTTATATCCAGAACAATTCATCTGTAGAGGTAAAAAAATAAAATTAGAAGCAAAATTATTGGAGCATACATAGGTTTTTCACTGAGGATATTGAGACACAGGGAAATAACAGGAGTTCCATAAGACCCCGCAGTAAGATGTGTCTAAMTGCAGAACAAAACTCTTGTCTCTTAAGGTTTAATTTCATATCCCAATAGGTTATCCATTTAAAATTATTTTTTCACCATRAAGTCAAACCCTGAAGCTGGATTAGCAAGATAATGTTTACAGTAACGGCAGTAGCTSTGCATGCTAAACTGAGGATTAATGCAAATTGATAACGTGTGGCAGCTTGTGTGTGTTGAAGTTTGCAATAAAATCATGTGATTTGAACCCACCCTGCTTATGTTGCTTTCTGTGAGAATCAGTRTCATATGCATTTAGTGGCAACAAATGCTTGCCAAAAAATTTGGCATAAACATTGCATGTTTATGAAAACTGATTTATTGTACTTTGGTACTCAGTAGTAGTTCTAAAGAAAACTATGACAGATCATGTGCACCTACTCAATGAAGCATGGATGTTGCATGGTGTCTCTCCACATATCTATGTGGTTTTGCCCTGTCGTCCAGTCTGAGTATTCACAGAGAGTGCTGAAGTAAATATGACCATTGTGACTGAGTCAGTGTTTTCTGCAAAGATCCTCCCGAGCTGCTGTGCTGGACCTGTAAGGTTCCAATCCCAAATGTGCCTACTTCACAGAGACCGCAATCTGCAACGAAGTACAGCTCTCTTCCTGTTGCCTGCTCCCCAAAGCAGGGCTCAGGGATTTTCCATGACCAGGATGTGTGGGAAATAGGTCTCTCRGAGCCAGTTAAGAGCAAGATCTAAATGGACGTGCAGGTAATGGCATGAGAGAGGAGATACCTGCATCAACACCAGAGTGAATAGGAAACGCTTCTGAGACATGATCTCAGGGGGAACTTAGAGAAAAACTAGGGCCTAGTGGAAGTTTTGGCGTTACAGAAGTTTGCTTGGGGTGATGCACAGTTGCCACTTCCAGGATGAYTGATATGGTCAGACTCTGCTCCTCCAAGGTTCCCTAGGCAGCAAAAATCGCAGCTGCAAAGAGGAGTAACAGAGAGTGGAACTGAGTGAAGATACTGCAGSCAAACTCTGCTGGACTTCCTGTGCTGAGTCGCTGATAAGCCATGCAATGACTGCCCAATAGCAGATATGTGATAAGATGTCCAGTGCTGAGACAGCAAGGATGGCAAATCACTCCTTTCAGATGAACTTTGCTTGAACKTTGCTCATTATAATCCATTTATAATGA